GTAATGCAAAGTCGAGATCGTTACCGGAAACTTAGGATGAGGCTTAAATAAAGTAGAAGCTCGTAGCGAAATAATGGATGCAGAGGTGGAGAAGGTNTACGGATCTCGCATTTTCGGTAGTACCAAGTAAAGCGATTTTCCATCCTTCCATTAAATAGGTGGCATTCCTCCATTTGGAATGCGAAGTGAAGCAGAGTTCCATCCTTTCGTCGAATAGGTGATGATCTCCTTTTCCTTTGCAAAAAACTCAAATCTACACAAACCATCCTGAGAGCAAAAAAACCCGAGCCGAACTGTACAGTGGTAATACTAAGATAAAGTCAAAGGCGATTGGTTAGGAATAGTTGGAAGCCTGTGCTCGAACCGGATTGGAGTCCGTCCGAAACACAAAAGAGATATAAGTCGATGTTTGAATCGAAATCTTCGACATAGACAAAAGCGAAGTCCTAGACAAAGACTGAATTATTAACTGGATAGCATGCAAATTTGGAGATGTTTTATACGAGATGGAGTAGAGCTTTTTGCTTGTAGAGGCAAATGACGAGTCTAGGAGGCGGACCATTAGACTGAGACTGAGATAGAAGGGTTTACTTGTTTGATAACAGAGATGGAATCAGAGCTAAAGTTCTTCGCTTAAACAGTACTTAACTAAAATTCAAAAGCGGATACAGAGGTGGGAGTCTTAGACTCAGTCCGCAGAGTCGCATACGTGAGTACATGAAGGGAATACAACGATGAGGTAAAAGTCCTTAGATAAGTGGTCCTCAGTGGATTATGCCTAAAAGTCCATGACTAAATGGAACACAGAGATTGAGACTGAAGTGCTGTATATGTCAATGGCAGCAGTGCTGAAAACGAATTACTCGGCTGAGACCCATATAAAATATATAATTAATATAAAATAGGAGTTCTTGTCTATTAGAATACAGAGACGTAGCTGAAGCTAAAGTTATAAGCGGAGGAGAGAGAGCTGAACAGACAGGGACGACGACCGAATCCTATTCTGAGGCTAAACTAAAAAGGAAGTGGTTAACTAATTGTAAAGCAAAGTCGAGATCGCTACTGGAAACTTAGGTTGAGGCTTAAATAAAGTAGAAGCTCGTAGCGAAATAATGGATGCAGAGGTGGAGAAGGTGCCAAATAGAAATAAATTCGGAATGCCATATAAAGATACAGACAGAGATAAAAAATAAGCCGAAGTCTGACGCGGTATTATATTGATGAAAAAACGCAGACCTAGACAGCAAGGTGTAGATAATAAGATGAAGCCGAAGTCCAGCGCTATTCAAAGATGTATGAGCAGAAGGTGAGAGGCGGAGACTGATGCAGAGATTGAAGAACAAGATGGCATCGGTATACGGGCAAAGTCGAAGCCTGAGACAGAAGCCACAGCGCTGCAATTCTATTTCGAATAGAAATTCAAGCTACACGCTAACAGCATCTAAGGCACAACCAAAAAAAAAAAAAAAGAAAATGTGCAACAACAAAAAGCACGGTGACAAGTAAAACATGGTCTTGAGCAACTATTACGAGTATTAAAAGCATATCAATGGCAATATATGTACACATACATATAAATGTACATGTGTGTGTGTTAACTAATGCTTTTGGTATGACATTACCAGAACTGCACAAATATAGCCAACGAAGCAAGTACCTCGATACTTTGGAGACTTCTCAGCAGCGCATTGTGGAAAAATTTACGCCGACATTGGTGTTGTTTTTGCTATTGGCTACACAGCGTAAGCGTTGGGAAATGTCTAGCAAACGTGTGCGATTACCTTAAGGCGCATCTCATGTGCTCATGTGTAGTTTTTCCCAGTGACCCACTTTCGCAGCAGCGCGAAAGCACAAAGGCCAACCGAGCCGTCGGCAGCTGAAGCATTTCGGCAGCTAGTAACTAGCAGCTACCTTTACTTGCTACTCGATATGCACACATGTAGCCATACACACACACACATCAGTCATTTCTGTACAAACTGAACTTAGGCTTAGAACTTATAAGTTTAAGCCGCTAGATACAGACATACATACTCATGTATGTGAGTGTAGGTGTGTGTATTTGGAATTTGTTAAATCACAAATTCCCTATTCATGTACATATATTTATCTTGTATTAATTTTATATGCTTCGAAGCGAAAGAAAGAGGAATTACGCATTTTATACGCTTTTCCGCAAAAGAACATAAAAATACCTTACAAAATTAAGTTTCATATATCAATCAAGTGTGCGCGTGTGGCTTGTAGGAAAAATTCGATGACAATATTAATTATGGAAACTGTGGGTAGATAATGTATACAAAAGATTTTTTGAATCTACCAACATAACTCTACTTAAGTGAAAGTTATAAAACATTAAACTTAACTTAGACTTAACTTAACTTAATAACAATTAACATAAACAGAATTAGTTTAACATAACTCAACTTAGATTAACTGAACTTACCATAACTTACCTTAGACTTAACTTAACTTAATATAAATTAGCATAATCAAAATCAATTTAACATAAGTCAACTTAGATTAACTAAACTTTCGATAACTTAACATAAATTAACTTAACGTAACTTAACTTTATCTACCTTAAACTGTATTAATGTAAAAAAAATGGTTCGTAACTAAACTCAATCGAACAAAACTAATGTACATAAAATATAACTTAGACTTCACTTAAGTAAAAAAACACAATTAAAACTAATTTATCATAACTTAACTTAGATTTATTGAACTTACCATAACTTAAGGTATATTAACTTAACGTTGCTTAAATTTACTTAGCGCAACTTATTTTAACTTAAAATTTATAAATATATAGTAATAAAATAATGGCATTTTAAGTACAAGTTGGAATACACAATATACAATTAAATGTATATCGCAGACTAAAACACCATTAAAGTACTGCTAAGAGACGTCTGCTGTGCTTCATGGGGTTAAAAGGTGGCCTTCCATATGAAAACTCTGGGTTTTCCCACTGGGTAGCTACGCAGAAAAGTCTCAAAAAGATTCAATATGTAATTTTATGTATGTACATATGTTTCTATGTAAGTAGATAGTCATCTTCATCATTACCGTTAACCTGCTGCACAATTTCTCAGACAAAAGTACAGGAACTAGAATGGGAGTTGGCCCTAGAAAATATCACGGCATGCGTTTGAAGCACATTCGAAATGCTTTTAGAAGTACAAAAACAAAAATAGAGTACTACCACAAATATGTGGAAAAATTACTTGAAAATACTAGCAAGCTTGGCTGTCTTAGCCACTCTCTCTACTACTTCTAATAGCTAGTCTAGTGGGTCTGTATTTTTTCGACAATAAAATCATATGATCGTTTGTCTGTCAGTCTGTCTGTCTGCATTTTACTTTAGACAATTGGATTTTACTTCATTATTTAGTACAAGTAATTTTCTCGCCGGTTATATTTACAATTTAAAATGCATTATTAGCGTAAATACTCATATACATACATATGTGTTACGGTAATATAATCTTGTTTGCATGAAAGCATGAATATTAGTTAATATGGTTGTGTATCATTACTGGGTTCAAGCATTTTGTATGCTCTAATTTTTAAATTATTCGTTTTTAATGTATTTCACCGGTGTGTTTGAATTGCGAGAGAGAGAGATTTATATGTATATTTATTATGGAACCACTAGAAGCCGCAAGGGAGATATGATGCGGCACAGAGTTGCATTTGGACTGTTTCAATTATATTTGTACGTAACGACTACACTACTACTACTACAGTTATGCTCCCTATATTTGTGAGTACTGTTTAGTGATAAACACCAAAATTGGCAACAAACTCGAGTTAGTGGTGTAAAAGAGCTGTGAAAGATGTTTAAAACATTGATGCTTCTGCGATTTTAGGAAGATTTTTCATGTTAGATATAGTCTCAAAGATTAAATTATGCCCTAAACTCTTTTATGGCTGTCAAAGCTCTTAGAGGATTGAATTTCCACTGACATTCCATAAAAGCCATTGATTATATACATAACTTTACTTAAAGGAAAGTTATAAACATTAAACTTAACTTATATAAATTAACATAATCAAAATTAGTTTAAAAGCCGTAGATTATGTGACTCCGCAGATCGAAGTATAACTCCTTGTTTAGCTCGCAAAATCTGCGAGCTTCTCTCGAGTTCAAGAATAAACTAGATACCTTCTATTAGTACTACTGCTACTCGTACTTACTGATCCGTAAACATAGAACCGGCTGTTGTAGGACTAGATTTTTATTGGTCGTATAGAGCCCCTAAACTTTAATCAGTCACAAAATGTCTGTCAGTTTCTCGATAGAATTCACCATTGAAATATTTATAGTGTTCAGTGAGACTCTAAGAACGAATTTAAATTTACTAGAGCTTATCGGAGCCCCCCTGTGTAATAGGTAATCGGTGGCAGTGAGCCGGAGCTTTAAGTATATATAACTACCATAATCTACTGGGCTTTTTCACCTTTTCATGGATTCCGCTAAGTGATAGATTTGTCGCGTATGCTTGATTTTCCTCTCTCAGAGATTTCCAGTTGTGTCCGTTTTCAGTGGCTCTGAGCACGAGCTCGATATATACCATAACCTAAGGGATTTTTCATCTCTATACGGATTTCACTAAGTCGATAGACCTGTCGCATGTGACTGGTCTTACTTTCTCAAAGATTTCCTGTCTTGCCAAGTATTTAGTGGCCGTGAGCCGACGCTCTAGGTATATATACCATAACCTAATGGATTTTTTCATCTACATGCGGATTTCACTAAGTCGATAGACCTGTGGCGTGTGACTAGTTTCACTTTCTCAGAGTTTTCCTGTCAAGTGTTTAGTCAATTAAAGAATAGATCCTGGGAATAGTATGCTAGAAATCCTAGAAATAGATGCTTTGAGGTAAAAAAAACATAATTTTTCTTCGAATTTAAGTTTACTTCGGCCTGTAGCGATTCCAGTCATACATTTATATGCCTGGCTAAGTAATCTAAAAAGTAATCTAAGAATTTATTGATTCTGAAAAGCATGTATTCTTTTACTTAAGACTTAGTTGGCATTAACTGGGTAGAAATCGGCTTTCGATTGCTTAGTCCATAGGAGGTTACATCAATTCAAGCAAGGAAAAGCTTAATATGGCTGGCTGATGTTTCCCTTCGGAACCTTTTTGGATGTGTAGAAAGCGAGAGCCAAAGCAGCACAGCCCTTCGAAGTAATTAGGAATTTGTTTCCAAATCCCCGCTTTACATTCTCAGATTTCAGTCTCTCAATAACTTGAATATTTTCGTGAACCCATATCTTCCTTGGTCCTAAATGCAGACTACTCAATAATGATTAATACTATAATCAAACGACATTACCAATACCAAATATTATACATTACTTTTTAGTCAGCCTTCCTTGAAAAATGATGTGATGAATGATGTAAAAGCCCAAAGCGAACTCCAACGCTGTTAAACAACACGAAATATATTTGATTTATCTACAAAGATAAGTCATTAACTGAATTATAGAGAACGTTGCGAAAGGTAAACAAAAATAAAACATATGTAAAACAACAAAAAATCGGCACACGTTCGCTACAAAAGCGAGTCAGTCATGTAGAATGTGATGCCACACTAACGAAATTAATATTATTAATTGCTGACGAGCTGTCATGAATATGCTTTCGCTTTCTAATTATACAAAGATTAAGCATTGGATTAAATATTCCAGAAATAGCTACATACATACGAAGAAAGATTATAAGCTTGTAAGCATGCAATATGGGTGTATTAATGAATGCCGAGATGAAAGCGAATTAGAAATTTACAATCATGCAACGAAATTAATTGATTACTTGTAGATTTGCTGAGTAATGAAAATATTTGTAGAAAGATATATATGTCAAGTTATAAATATAAGAAAGTGAATTAAGTGATTAAAATTATTGGAATTCCAATTTGGATAGAGTAAAGTTTATGAAAAGCAGAAAAAAATTTACCGGCGATTAATAAGCAGACAAAGAGAGGGAGAGATAGTAGACTAAAGAAATAAGTGAATAAGAGAGATATAGTAGCCAAAGATATTAAAAATAAAGAGAGAGAAATAATGGCCTAAAGAAATAAAAAAGAAAATGAGAGATCGATAGTATCCTAAGGAAATTATAAAGAAACAGATAGAGGTAGCTTTAATAATGGAGGAGGAAAAACCGAGAGAGATTGTAGCCTAAAAATATTAGGAGAAAAGAACGCGATAATAGTTTAAATAGTGAGAGAAAATGAAATAATTTCGAGATAATACACTTAAGAAATAATATAAACTGAAAGAGTGGCGAAATGTACGCCGCTCAATGACCGGAAAGTGTAATATTACGTCAAGAAGATTCGGAGAAAAACAGAAGAAGATCATATCCAAACAGAGAGAGAGAAAGGAACATTATGATAGAGGAAGAGAGAAAAATCGAGAGATAAGCTTGGCATAAAAGCCGAGAGGTTAGCTTGATATAACTCCAAAGATTATGCAAATGAAAAATACTACTTCGAAGAAAAGAGGAAAATAATCTAATGATGGATATCTTTACTTTCACTGTTATATCCAAAGATAATCAAATTCGATGCTTATGATAAAGTGATGAGAAAGTAGTCTAATTGAGAAATATCTATTTACTAATACAAAAAACGTAAGAAATTAAGGAAAGTTCAGAGTCAAGGTTATTAGATTCTCAAAAACAGTACCATAGGGTCGGCTCTCAGATAGATATTAGAACGATTAAGAATAATTTAGGAGTATTATTGAGATTGATGAGACCAACATGCGCCCAAATTATACATCATAGATACGGTTAGTTCAAGTCTATCCTAACAGTCCTTTATATAGATACTTCACTTAACTAATATTTAAAATATAATGGATAAAGAGATTATTTCCAGTTTACAGCTAGGGAAATGTAAAAAACTAAAGATGGTCCAAAGGCATGGTTATCCGATACTCAAAAGCTCTATCAAGGTGTTGGCCTTCAGACAGGTATTAAGATGGTAGAGAATGGTACATAAGGATTTCAATTTAGATGGACGAGACCAACATGAACTCGAAAGTAAGCACAGCTCTAATATTTTCAATATGAATACCTCCGATTATGTACGTGTTCTTTGAAAGAAATGAAGACTTAATTTCAGCCTAAAAAATTTAAAAAGTCTGCTAATAATCGTCTGAAGTCAATTCTTTGTTGGTAGTCACTATACAAATATATTGGAGACCGCAGTTAAGGCCTTCAAGATTCATCGAGCTCGTTATTTCGCTCCAGGGCTCAGTTTACAGTACGAAGGATGCACTTAGTCATCACAATCGAAGAAATATTTCAAGCTGTTTTTCTGGAAACTTCATCGTACAACTTTAACCAATTCCTTCTCGTAAGCAAATTATACAAGACTGCTGCGCTGACAAGCCTAAATAGTTGACTGCGGCACAATGGTAGGCCACACCAGTTGCAACCAAGCAAATCATTGATTCCCAACAACATCTTTATACTAACTGTATACCTATACATAACTCTGAATGTTTATTTATGTTATAGTTAAATATGTGTGTGACGGCAAGTATGTGGCTGCCACAAAATTTAGGTCAGTTATTGTGAAACCAAGAAGCCGCAAAGACATCGACGAGCCGATCAATAGACAGAGACTGACATTTCCCAACAATCAGCATATATGGATGGAAACATGTAGTGACAGCCAATATGCCTACTAACTACTAGATTGTGCGATATGCACATATATACACAGTTAACTCTCTGCATTCCTACAAATCTACATTTTTGTGCGGGAAAATGCGATACTGAAACCGCTCCGCCCCAAAATGTTCCGACAATCAGTAGTCTTGCTGAATTCTCAGTTTGTTGGCGAATTTGTCGGCTTATTTGTGGGTTGCCACTAATTTATGACTACGTTCAATGCGCTTATTGGTGGCTGAAACCGCAGGAGCTCAGCAGAAAATAAGTAGAATAGCAGAAGGTGTGGAGTAAAAATACCGAAACAGTTTGAAATCTAAAGAAGTTTTTTGATATAGGTACATAGATAATTCAAAATTTTATTTATCAACAATTTATTATTGATTATGACATGTTTCAGTATATTCCACACAGTGCTATTCGTCACCTTACATCTTTTTATATTTCACCCCGTTTCATTCCAATACGTTTCTGAGAAAATTTTCGGTTTCACAATTCACTTTTACCTTAAATTCGGTTTCATATTACTTTCCACTTTGTTTCATTTCCGTCGTGCCTTACGTTTTATTAATTTATCATCATTAAACTTATATTTTCAATGTTTCTTTGCTTTATTTGTTGGTTAAGTTCTTAAATTTCGTTCCGTTCACTGTTAACGAAAATATGTTTTTAACTTAATTTATTATTTTAAATAATTTTCTCGCAATTTACATTTGCTTACTTTTCGAAAATTATTTTTTTTCACATTCTACGCTTAACTCGCAGCTTTCTGCATTTTACAACATTTCATTCCAATAACATTTTTAATTTCATATTATTGCTTGTTCCATTCCATTGACTTCATATAATTTATAATTTAAACTATTTCGAAAGAGTTTCCATATGATTCCACTCCTTTTTAATAACATCTCCTTTCCATACTATTTCAGCAAATTATATAAAACCTATCAAAATGTGTTCCATTCCGCTGTTCCTTTCTTTATAGTTTACAATTTCTAAATTTTCGTGAAATGTTTTCTGTATGCATGTATGCAAAATAGCATCAGCTTTCAGCAATATGTTCCGTTTCCATTTCGTTCCTTCAATAGTTTTATATTCTCAATTCGTTTACATTCTTCCATGCTACTTAATATAATATTTTTCGCATATCATTTCAAAAAAATTTTTGCCATTCCACCGTTTCCATGATCATACACATATCAATAGTGCACTGGAACCTCCGTACTAATTTTTCTCTGTGCACGTTTACCTCATTTGTGGTTATCATGTGACGATCCTACTACAGTTGTCTGTATGTACGTTAGTAAGTTAGCAACAAACTGGATATGCTCGTATTTTTAGCCACTGTTATGTGGTAAATATGCAAGCAATGCGACTTACATGTGTCTGCACATGAATTTAACGCCTTCACCCTTTTAAGCGCAGCCAGATTACCCAATTTAAGGTGGCAAATAGTCACGACTTCGATACAATTGTTTTTCGGTGTCATGACTAATTTGCGAATAAAGGAGTAGAAAAAATGAAAAGTAAAACGAAATGTGGGTAAAAATAGATGTAAAGGTGGTGTAAAGTAAAATACTAGTCCGTTAAAGTATTTTGTGTGTAGCAGCAGAAAAGTGCATTTTTATGGTGTGGATTTAATTAAAGAAGTTGGTATGAAATTAATTTTAAAAAAATTAGTTTAAATTAAAAATTTGACATAAAATTATTTTAAAAATATTACAATTTAAAACAAAAATTTTGAACCAATTTTTTATATAAAATTTTAATTAAAAAAAAGTAGAAATAAAAAAACATTTTTAAATGAAAAATATATTTTCTTATGATTAAAAATAACAATTCAGCATTTTTTATATATAAAATTTGTACAAGAATTGCAAAAAAGTAAAAAATTAGTGACGAAAATCTTAGCATAACATTAGTAAAAATAACTGCTAAAATAAAAATATTCAAAAATATATAAATTTTATTAAAAAAAGGCTGAAAAATTTCTAAAATATTTGTTATAACAAAAATAAAAAATTTTTTTTATCAATTAAAATTATATTTTGTTATGTCATATTTTTGTTTTAATTCAGCATTTTATAAACATAATATTTCTAAAAAAAAGAACACAAAAAATCAAAAAAAAATTAAATAAATGAAGAAAATGTTAACATGAATTAGTAAAAATAGCTGCTAAGATAAAAAAAATCAGTAAAAAAGATATACCATACAATTATTTATAAAAAAAAGCTGAAAATTTGCAAAAAAATATATGATAAAAAAACAACAAGTTTAACTTAAAAATATATAGTATTTTATGTAACAGTTTAATTATTTTTAATTGAGCATTTCTTATATAAAATTTGTAAAAAAAATGTAAAAGAAATAAAAATTAACATAAGTTAGTAGAATTACAAAAGGGAATAATCTGGAAAAATATTATATAAAAAAATTTTGAAAAACTAGTAAAAAACACTTGCAATAAAAAAAATAGTAATAAAAAGAGTAAAAAAAAACATTATTATATTAAAAATATATTTGCTTATGTAATAAAATAATTTTTTTTGTTTTAAGTCTACAAAAATTTTGATAAGCTTAGTTAAAAATTTCTTTAAAACGAAAATACTGCAATATTCAATAAAACAATAACACAAAGTTTCTGAAAAAAATTTCGTTTAATTTTAAAAACTTTTACTATCTAAAACTTTTTTCTGACATAAAGTAAGTAAATATTAAAATAGAATCATTTAAATGATTTTCATAAATTAAATTTACATATTATTTAAAAAGTGGAATTAATTTAAAACCCCTAATTAAACTCAAATTTGCTTAATAAAAACAACCGAGCAATTACAATTTGTTGAATAAGAGAAACTGAACATTTTTTATTACCGTTAGAAATGCTTTCGAGTATGACTT